AAACTGTCACTCAGGTTCAGACACACAGTCATTTCTGCAACCAAGACACTTTCGTTGTCTTCACAAGCTTATTTTTTTCTATGTAAAAATAATACAAAGCCTTCTTGCTTTGTATTTCAGTATATTAACAATAAATACTGTATATAGATTTTTTTTAAAACCCCTCTTTATATGTTCAGCCATTAACCCCTTAAACAACCAAGGAAAGATCACCCACCTTCTCTTGTTCTGGGCTCCAGGCTGAGCTACCTACTAAGCATTTATTTTACAGTTCCACAGGCTTTAGTTCCCTCATATACCACTTTTATCACATCCCACCACCAATTCCATAATAATACGAAGCATTTCATAATTCAAGTCTATTCACTGTCACCTTCTTCTGAATCAATAGATGTTGATAAATGTACAGTGGATTTCTCCCATTCAAACAATAATAAATAGATAACAAGATAATATTAGAATGCTATGATAGCATAGAAAGCCTTTTATTGAACCTGATTAAACACAATTTTTAATTCACATCTCCCTAAGCATCAATGAAGCGAGACTGGGAATCAGAGGAACACGTCCAAGAATTAGGGAAGCCCCCCCACCCCACCCCAGATGTTTTACAGGCAAAAGAGCCTCTCCTCTGGACCCAGACCCCCTGAGCTCTTCTTACACACAAGGCCTGTTTTTAAAGCTTCCAGAGTAGGCGGTCAACATCTTGAATTAAGTCAGGAAAGCAGATGACAGCCAGAGTGGATCCTTTACAAGTAGTCCTCGACTTACAACAGTTCATTTAGTGATCATTCAGTTACAATAGCACTGAAAAAGTGACGTGACCATTTTTCACACGACCATTGCAGCATCTCCAGGGTCATGCGGTCAAAACTCAGACGCTTGGGAACTGATTCATGTTTATGGTGGTTGCAGTGACCTTCTGACAACAAAGTCAGTGGGGAAGCCAGATTCATTTAGCAGCTGGGTTACTAACTTATCAACTGCAGTGATTCACTTAGCAATGGTGGCAAGAAATATCATAAAATCGGGCAAAACTCACTTAACGACAGAAATTTTGGGCTTAGTTGTGGTGGTAAATTGAGGACTACCCAGGGGTGAAATGCTCCCAGTTTGGACCAGATCGCCCGATCCGGTAGCAATGGCGGCGGGTGGTTCGGAGAACCAGTAGCAAAAATCCCTGCCCCCGCCCTGCCCAGCTGAGCTGCATGATCATCAGAGGCTTTTTTTTTTACTTTTAAAAGCATTTTTTCCTGCAACCTCTTCGGCCGAAAAAATGCTTTTAAAAGTCTCTGGCGATCCCAGCTGACCCAATGCAAAAGGTGGATTCGGCCCAATGCAAAAGGTGGCTTCCAGGCCTGACAGAGCTTTTTGTTACCAAGCTCTTGCAAGATGAGTTGTAAATTGTGAGTTGTGAGGAAAGGACAGGGGGCCACAGTGGCTGCCCCTGCCCGATCGAGGCTCCGAAGGCAGGGCTGGCTGCAAGAGTCCTTCCTGTGCCTGATTGCCCCACTCCTGTTTTTTTGTATTTTATTCCCACTTTCTAGAAGGAAGAGATCGCTTGGACAAGCGATCTCTTCCTAAACTGCTTTTCTGTGCCAGATTAGTTAATTAGTCCTGCTATCTGAAATTGGCCTGATCCAGAGCAAGATTACCCCGAAGGCTTCCTTTGGTGTTCTAAGCTAGGGGAGCAGATAAGCAAAGAGCTGGCGCCAAAGCATTCCTTTCTGTGTGTTCTCCCCATTGTGTGCTTGCTTGCTGTCTTCCCCTCCAATGGTTGTAAAGACAAACATTGTTTTCACCTTGCTATTCTAGCATCAAGGTGAGGACTACAAAGGGTGGGGGAGCAGGGAAGAGGGCTGTAGGATTTATTTTACCCTCTTTTCCAAACTTTCTCGTGAGTCAAATTCCAGAATATGAACCTTCTCTGCTGTTCTCTGCTCACCTGGATGATTGGGGTTGTATCCTCCTGACAGGTAAGTATTTAGGGGCAATTTCTTAATAAACTTTTTTAAAGATTTGTTGAAATTTTTGTGTCTCTCTTGGTATTCTTCTTTGGTGATCATCCTGCACCTTCTAAATTAAGTATCAACATGCACATTAGCAAAAACAAACCCCAATAACCCAAGCCCGGGAGTTGGCCCCCATGGAGGGACATTGGCCCATCGGCTGCTTTGGAGGTGCATGTGGCTCAACTGGGGTTATGCTGCCCGCTCCTTCAAGAGACCCTCTGATTCCCTTTGCCCCAAATCTTCAGTGGCTGGTGTGCTCTTGGGTCAGGGCCCTGCGGGGTCACCCTGGAGCCAGCAAGAGGCCACCCCCTGGGCATGTGCAGAGGAGGTGGCGAGTGTGCACGGAGCCTGGCATATTATTATTATTATTATTATTATTATTATTATTATTATTATTATTATTAATTGAATTTCTATACTGCCCTTCTCCTGAAGGACTCAGGGCAGTGAACAGAATAAGATTTCATATACATATAATTTTTTTTTTTTTTTATAAACAGTAAATAATAAATTGAGTCAACTTAGTGTATCTGCTAAGACCTTGGCATAGAATTTAGATGTTTATGCTAGCCTGCTTGTTGAAACAGAAAGGTCTTCAGGGCACATCGGAAAGTGCGAAGATCTGGGATTATTCGTATTCCAGGGGGTATTTTGTTCCAAAGAGTAGGTGCCCCCACAGAGAAGGCTCTCTCCCTTGGAACTACTAGACGACATTGTTTTAATGATGGTACTATGAGTAAGCCTACTCTGTGAGAGCGTATTGGTTGGTGGGAGGTTATCGGTTGCAGCAGGTGGTCTCGTAAGTACTCAGGTCCTAAGCCATAGAGCACTTTAAAGGTAAGAACCAACACCTTGAAGCGCACTCGGAAGGCCACCGGAAGCCAGTGCAGCTCACGTAGAAGAGGTGTTACATGTGAGCGCCATGTTGCTCCCATAATTACTCGCGCGGCCGCATTCTGGACCAGTTGGAACTTCCGGGTGTTGATCATCGGCTGCCAGCAGTTTGGCAGATTGAATCTCACCAGGCTCAAGGTTGACTCAGCCTTCCATCCTTTAAGATCGGTAAAATGAGGACCCAGATTATTGGGGGCAAGAGGCTGACTCTGTAAACCGCTTAGAGAGGGCTGGAAAGCACTGTAAAGCAGTATATAAGTCTTAAGTGCTTTTGCTATTCCTTCCTTATCTTCCTTCCTTCCTTCCTTCCTCCCTCCCTCCCTCCTTCCCTTCCTTCCTGCATGAACCATTGTGGCGCAGTGGTTAGAATGCAGTATTGCAGTCTAATTCTGCTGGCTGCCAGGAATTCAATCCTGATCGGCTCAAGGTGGACTCAGCCTTCCATCCTTCCGAGGTGGGTAAAAAGAGGACCTAGATTGTTGGGGGCAACTGGCTGACTCTGTAAACTGCTTAGAGAGGGCTGTAAAGCACTATGAAGCGGTATATAAATCTAAGTGCTATTGCCCTGTAGGCTGAGTGTGTTCTGAGCGCTTCCCTTTCACCCAGGGCCCAGCCGCTCGCTGCCTCTTGTGTGCATGCCCAGGGGGCAGGGGTGAAGCAGCAGGGCTGCCCCTCGCTGGCTCCAGGGCGAGTTGGATCTAAGGCTGATCATGTTCTGGCCCACATGGCCACACCAAGTTGTGGAATAGATCAGCGCTACTCCCGCACTTTCATGCCCCGCTCACCGGCCTGGCCTCACAGCCTGCAAGGCTTCCCTTTTGCCAGGACCTCCCCTGCCCCTGCGTGGGAACAGAATGGGACCTTTAGGCCAATCGGGTGGCAGGCAGAAGCCATGGTGTCAGCTTTGGAAGCCATATTAGGCCGGAAACTTCCATGCTGCCACCTTCTCATGTGTGGGAGAGTAGGAGGGGGGATTTAGTAGAGGGGTTGTCTGTAGACATAATAGCATTCTTCCTTTTGGTCAAGGTCAGGGTGATCCTGCATCTGGAGAAGGAGTGGTCAGAGTGAGGTCTCGAGATGGGACGGCGGTTGATTGGAGCATGTGATCGACTGAGGACTGAGGGGATGATTTCGGGGGTTTTGATTTATGAGGGAAAACCTGGACCTCTCAGATTTGGGTTTTCCCACATGAGCCAGCTTACCTATTCTAGTAAATAGAACTTCAAAAAATGGTTGCTTCAGAGTTTTACTTGGAGTTGGGGTTTTTCTGGAACACTTGACACATGGTGCATCTGGTGGCCAGCGTGCGATGGGTGATAGGCAGGGGCTTTGGGGCTGTGGGGGGGACGCGGCAGGTGAACATGGTGGTGTGTGGCTTCTGGCATTGGGGGAGCGCAGAAGCAGAACTGCCCTTTAGGTATCTGGTGTAGTAGGTCCAGGCATAGAGGCAAAAGGGGGTGGGGGAAGGGAATCCGCTGCTACAGTTTGTTTTTTTTAAAAGTTGGCGGAGTCTCCGGGCAGAGCTGGCAACAGGCAGGCAGCGGTGGGCATTTTGACCCCTCCCCCCATCATTGCCTCTGCGCCTGATGGGCTTCTCTGTGGCTCTCAGCTCAGCTCCCCCAGACCCCTGCAGGTGTTTTGTTTCTGTGTCCGGGTGTGTACTCAAGGGATTAAGGGTGGATTGCACATCCCCCCAACCTGTCACTGACTGCATCGCACCCTGCCGCCCCAGCTCCTGCCCCCAGCCCCATGGAAGCTCCCATCCCAGCTTCTCTTATCTCTCCCATTCTTTTCCTCCCCAATGTCACAGCGTGGGGCTGCAAGGGGGGAGACAACAGAGGCAATGACAGGGGAAGGGGTCAAAATGGGAAGTCTCTGCCCACTGGCAAGTACATTATGTGTGTGTGCATGTGCGTGCACGCAGGGGTTTTCCCCCTTGCAGCCCCATCCTTCGGGGTGCACATTGGGGCACATGACATTGGGAATGGGAGAGGTAAGAGAAGCTGAGATGGGAGCTTCTTGCAGCCTTCCATGGGGCTGGGGGCAGGAGCTGGGGGGGGGGGGGGCCCTAGGCCATTGGGGGGGGGGGGGGGGGGGCATGTGCTGTCCAGTCTTGAGCACACAGCATTGAAGTTGTAATAGGTGACAGAAAGAAACAAGCATTCCAAAAAAAAAAGTAAGAAAGGAGATGGGGATGAGGAGGGAGGAAGATTATGAGAGGGAGGGAGGGTCTGAGGGAAGTCCTGCCTTAGTACTGGGCCACCAGCAGCCCTGCGGCCCTTTTGCCATTCCCTTGCCCCCTCCTCTCCTTGTGGTCTCCCATCCTATAGCTGAGGATGCCTTGGTTAAAAAGCCAGATCTCCTTGTGTGGAGAGGGAGTGGGCCTCCTTCGGACCTACAGACTTTGCCCTCCCACACACACCATGAATGATCTGGCCAAGAAGAGCGAGCACAGCAGCAGCAGCCTCGTGGAGGAAGTAAGCGAGGCCAGGTGCTCCGTTGGGGAAGTGGGGTTGGGCTGGGCTGTGGGGTTCTAATTCTCCTGTGCATGCCTGAACAGCGAACCGGTGGCAAACCGCGGAGGATTTCACCACTGTCCGGGGGTCCTCTGTGTGGCCTGAGAGAGACGGTGAGGCTCCACTGGTGGACAAGGGTTTGGCGCTTGCCCTGGTCTTGCCTTCCTCCGCTGGAGACAATGGATCCCCCCAGCCCCACCCAGGCCACCACAGGTGTCCCGACACAAGCGCCGTTGAGCTGACCACACCCCCACCAGGTCAACCACAACCCTGATGCGGCCCTCAATGAAATCAAGTTTGACACCCCTGCTGTATCCCAAGGCCCAGAGGGAGCAACTGCTATTCTGAACCAAGGGAGACCCATTGAGGTTTGTAGACGTATCTTTGAAAAGGAACAATGGACAGGATGAGCATATAACAAAGCACCTGGTGCATCCAAAATATGCAATCCATTACATTAAACATGTAAATGTTGCCAAGGAAAGAAAGTCTTTTAATCTAGGTTGTAAGTGTAGCCAGGTTTAAGTTAGAGTTTAAAATACCGTGTAAGATAGTCAGGGAATCTTCTTAGTACTAAGAGGTCTGTGAAGGGATGTGGATTGATGATACTAAAGGAAAATCTTTTTTTTTTTTGGTATATTTTTTATTTAGTTTTTCTTTAACTACCAACATTTTTTTGTGGACAGTGTAATGACGTATTTTTCAGTGCTCACAGTAATAATACAATTATATATACAGAATTTTTATCTTCCAACTTCCAGCCTTAATGTGCTCATTATATTATTTTATGTATCGATTGGTATTACACTAATATTTTCCCAATTTATCACTCAGTGTTCCAGAGGAGAAAAGTCAGCCATTGTGATGGTGGATCTAAATCAGCTGTCTTGACTGGAGAGATGGGGAGCAGTCGTCAGAGTTGGGCCATCCCAGAACATTGTGGGCAACTGGAGTAGTGGCTTAGAGAGCATCATTAGAGGACGGCTTTGTGTGGTGCCCTGGTATTCGGGGCTGCCAGGGACTGGGGAGCTGCAGACCGCAAGAAAGAGTACTGTTGCCATTTGATGCGCAATAGCTGCTCCACTTTTGGAGACTGTTGGCAGTGGGAGCAATGCCAAAAGAGCAGAAGCAAAACACATCTTATGCAGATTTGCTACGATCTGAGGAGCCGAAGGTGAGTTGAAGATACTGTGCAGAGCATCAGAGGACCAAAGGCCACTCAGAAATGCAGATGGAAGCCTGACTGGTTGCCACTGGAATTCTACTCTCATTTGGAGAAGTCAATGAGTGAAAAATGGCAGAAAAATATTTGGGTGGATTGGTTACCAGAGGGAAAAGATATTAATTGGGAGCAGAAGTAGGAGACTGGCTGAGCCACAGGGAGGAGAGCCAAGCAGGAAATTAGTCTGGAATCCCTATGTGGGCATAAGTGGGCAAAGTCTGACTCTCCTTGAATTTTATCTAGTCTTACCCAAACGCAACTCTGAAAAGATTCCTGTATATAGGCTTTAGCAATAAAACAGATAATTAAACTCTTCACATGTAGATCTGGTTGTTTGTGCCTGACAAATAATAGAAGAGAGAGTTGAATTGAAGTGAAGAACTGAATGTGAAGTTGTAGAGATAGGGAAGATGTCTTGCTGAAGATATGCAAGATCCATTGCTAAGATAATGAGTGGTGACAAATATTTTAAGTCCACAACAAACAGATAATCTGAAAGCAAATCTGATAGGTACCACCCTAACTCACTGAAATGTAACCAGCCAGAGGAAATACAAGATAAATCAAAGTTGTAAATTTTGGCTCTTAAAACTGTTATCTTTTTATATATAGTAATTTTATTAAAAGATTGTAAAAATGAAAACTAATACAAACTGAAAAGATAGAAAAATAAAAAGAGTTGAAAGTAGATAAAATGCAAAAAAGGAAAAATAATATAGTAAAAAAGAAATATATATAAACTGACTTCCCACCTTTATTATTTAGTTACTTTTAATTTTAATTTTAGTTAATTTTAGTTAATAGGTGGTGATAAACCTTCTCTTCTTCCCATATCCCGTGTTATCTATCAACACATCCATAAAACCTTGTCATTTTGGTCTTCGTGTCAGCAAAGGTCCAAAGGATACTAGAGATAACATACGTATTTTAACCTTGATCAAATAAACCAACTTTATATTCATTCCTTTCTTTTCTAATAATCTTGAGCTTTAATCCCTTCAAATAATGCCCTTGATACCTTTTCGGGTTTTTTGTTCCTTTTCACAAAATTCTTCAAACTTTTAGTAAACCTCTATTGTAAATCCATAAGAAAATTATTCAAGCTGCTCTCTTGGTTTGTTGTTTGCATAGCCCTTCTAATTATGAGGACATCAGTTGGTTTCTTTTGCAGGTCCAGTGAAACACCTTTTATCCATGAGTCTTGATATTGTTGGGTAGAAGTTGTTCCACTTCCACATCTTTTAGACACCATCTGTCTATAGAGGTAGACGCTCTTAAAGTTAACTCCCAAGTCTATTGTTCAAAAATAGCCTTCAATATGTTCAATGTTAAAAGTATTTTGCTTTATTCTATAATAGTAAATTGAGTTTAAGTACTCTTCACTTTTATAGCAATAGCACTTAGACTTATATACCGGTTTACAGTACTTTAGAGCCTTAAGCAGTTTACAGAGTCAGCCTCTTGCCCACAACAATCTGAGTCCTCATTTTACCCACCTCGGAAAGATGGAAGGCTGAGTCAACCTGGAGTCTGGTGAGATTCGAATTGCCAAATTGGAGGCAGCTGGCAGTCAGCAAAAGTAGCCTGCAGTACTGCACTCTAACCACTGCGCCACCATGGCTCATAATTAATTGTAATCTTTAATGCCCTCTAGTGTCCGTTTTTTAAAAATCTTATTTTTTGTTTTAAAAAAACAAAAGTTATTATAACCAATCTCAGTAAAAGTAGTTCTAGGTTTAGATGGGACAGTACAATCTTCTGAGTCTTGTAAGATCTCCTGGTGGCTTTCTGTACCATTGACCCTCTGGCCATCTATTGGAGTTGGATGCTCCCTCCCTATGACGTCATAGCTCATTTCTCCACAAGCAGCTGAGTCAGTGTGGTGAATTCAAGCAATGAGGCTTTATCCTGGGGGAGAGATTATTAAACAGAGGCAACATACAGATGAGATCCAGTTACACATCTCTTCTGGAGTCCTGACTTGTGTTAGGAGGTTGAAGATCTCTGGATGGAAGAGGTGGTGACTTATTTCCAATTTTAGCTCGTGATGGAATTGTGCTCCCCCAGAAGGAGCTGGTTTGCAATCTGAGTAAACTTCTGGACTCGGTCTGCTGAGCTTCGGCTGGTGCAGCAGGTATGACCCATCCTGCAACAGGAGGGATTGGCCAGCTTCATGGCTTTGTCACCTGACAAGCTGGCACTGTCCTGAAAATCAGCTGGATGCAGCTGGTCATGTAACTGAAGGGAAATCCCTGCATTGCCATATAACTCCAGTCTTTTGGAGCTGCATTAGCACTGGTCTGTTTCTGGGGTAATTCAAGATGCCAGTGCTGAACTGAGGAGTTGGACCTCAGTGGAGTTGCTGACTCTACACCCATTTGCCTGCCCCAGGCACACAGGAAGAACAACCCTGCCAGGTGCCCCTGGGGACGAGTGGAAGGGACTCACAAGTGAGCCGTGGCTGGAGCCCCCTCCTCTGGGACTACTGGCTCCAAGAAACGAGGCCAGAAGTTGACCTTCAGCACCCCAGAGACGCCGTCCTGATTCACATAAGCACCTGGTGGAATGCAGTTGGTGGCTGCTAATGTTGTGATGATTGTGATTTTATAATGAGGATTATTAACAGAACTATATCTTACAATTTATTCTTTACTGCTTCTGCAAACCACACAGATCCCTTTTTTTGAAGTTTATACACACACTTGGAATGAACAAATACGTACCCTCTTTTCTCGAACAGACAGAATCAAGTTAGAAGGGATATTAGAGGCCATCTAGACTTGCTTGGTGTGGGATCCATCTGAGCACGAGCATTCAGCCTGTCTTGATTGCCTCACCACTTCATGGGGCAGCCTCTCCAACTGCTGGCCGTTTGTGAGGCTGACCTCTGGCCCAGTCCCCTTCCTTGCAGTTTTGACCTCTGGATCCTGGTCCTGCCCATCTGGAGCAAGAGAATAAACTCCCTCCCTTTTTATGCTGCAACAACCTAAGAGTGCCTCCTTACTTCATCCCCTCTCCTGGCCCCTTCGCTACCTGCTCTCAGCAAAGTTGCTCCACCTTCTTCCAGAGCCCAGAATAGGACACAGGACTCAAGCGGGGCTGACCTCTAACTCCCCCACTCTGGACTCTTCCTGTCAAAGCACCCCAACACAGAAATGTTTCTTCTGGCAGTTACTAGCCATGATATGACCCATCTCTGCAGAAAGTGGGAATTGCCTGCCATGAGTTCTGGTCTGGAAGGGCCTTCCTGGCTAAGTCCCTCTGGAAGGCCACTATGCTGTCCTGGACTCTGCCGCTGTGCTCATGAGGAGCAGGTCAAAGTCGCCTGGCCTGCAAGCAGACTTGCTGGCTGCCCCTCCCCTGGCCTTTATCATAAAGGCCTTCGCACTAAACCCCCGGGGCACTCGAAGCAGTGATCGGGTTTTCCTAAATCGCATTCGGATAACCTTCTGCAGAACTTGCAGCCCTCAGACTGGGAAAGCGCACGAAAAAGCAGCAGGGCCGGCTGTGTCTGGGAGGCCAGAGGGTCCAGTCAGCACTGGCCGAAACATGAAGCGCAGATGATCCGGTGGCTTTCAGCCCCATCGCCCAATGGCCCCACTAGGGGCGCCGGAGGGGCCTTCTCTCCGCTCCAGGGGAGAAGCCACCCGCTCCAGTGCCACAGTCCTGACCCCCGGCCCGCATTTCCAGAAGCGGCCTCAACATTCGGGGTCCGTCTGTCCCCAACCAGCTTGAGGTCCCGATGCACAACTTCCAGGCGCGGCAACCGCGGGCGGGAGGAAGCTCTGGGGGCCGCGGGGGGGGCTGTTGCCTGCCTCTCCCGGCCCAGCTCTTTTGGGGATGGACCCAGAGCTGCTCCCTCCCGGCCGTTCGTGCAGCGAAGGCCAGCCCCCGCCCGCGCCGCGCCTCCCCTCCCGCCGAAGGGCCCCGGCCGGCTCCAAGGGGGGGCGCGGGCGGCGGCTGGGCCAGGGAGCGTCCCGGGCTCAGGGCGGGCGCGCGAAGGACGCGGCGCGGGCGGGGAACAAAGGCGCACGTGGCCGCCGAGCAGGGACGCCCCGCCCGGGGGAGGGCCCACGCGGGGGGGGGGGAAAGGGGGCGGGGGCGGCTCCAGGGCTGCTGCGCTCGCCTCGCCTTCCCTTTCCTCCGCCGCCGCCCGCCGCGATGGCACGCTACCTCCGCTCTGCCTCTGCCGCCGCCGCCGCCGCCGCCTGGCCTCGCTGCCCGGCCGCGGCGCTCCCCGCGCTCGGCACTTGGCATCGCCCGCCGCAGCGGCACTGTGAGTCGCGTCGGGTCGGAGCGCCTTCCGGTTGGCGGCCCCGGAGAGCCAGTCCCGCCGGGCGCCCCAGTTGTTCCCCGGGAGGGGCCGCCGCGAGCACCGCCCCTCCTGTCCCGCCGAGCGCCCCCGTCCAGTCGCAGGGCCGCCGGGCAGCGCTGGCGGAAGAGACGGCGGCGGCATCGGCAGCCCGCCTGGCCGGGAGAGCGCCGGCCGGAGCCGCGGCGCCTTGCCGGCTTCCTGGAGCTCGGCCAGACCGAGGACGCGGCGCGAACACCGGCGCTGCTGTGCTGGGCTCTGGGCCGGCGAAGGGCTGCGGGCCTGGCTTTGCTCGCCGGCCGGAGCGGTGGGGCCGGGGAAGGCCTCGGCCGGCGCCCCCTCCTCTTCCGCGGCGCTGGCAGCCGGCCCGCCCGGGCACCTGTTGGAGGACGCGCGGCCAGCTGGCGCTCGGCGTCCTCTGAGCGTGACCTTGTCCCTTTGGCGGGCAGAGGGGCGGCCCGTCAGCGGCAGCGCGAGGTGGCAGGAGGGTGGCGGCAGGGCCCCTCGGCGGAGCGAGTGGGCTCCGCAGAGGACCGGAAAGCCTCCCAGGACCCCGGAGGCACTTGAGGCTCCTGGGCTGGACCGTTAGATGCCCCCAAAGAGCCGCCTTCCCTGGCCGGAGAGCTGGCCGGGCTGGGGTGGGCAGGGGCAACATGGCAGAAGCAGCTGCTGGTTCCAGAGAGGAGCCCGGGCGCTGGTGGGAAACGTACATCTTCCCTTGCAGTCGCTTTTAGCAAATGGGATTCGGTTCGAAACGGCCTGTCGGGCAGCGTGAAGGAGGCTGGGGCTGTCCAGGGGGCATTCTTGGGGCGCAGGGAGAGTCTGATCCCATCTTCTCCGCAGATGCTGACCAGAGGATCAAGGTTGCCAACCCCGTGGTGGAAATGGACGGGGATGAGATGACCCGGATCATCTGGGCCTTCATCAAGGAGAAGGTACCTGGCACTGCCTACCTTCCCTGCCCTGATGAGCGGGGACAAACCCTGAAGCCACTGAGACTCTGATGGTGGCAGTGAGACCAGGGTGGAAGGTGTAAGTGCTTGGGCAGAGCAGAAAGTGAAGGATTGGGGAATCCTGAGGGAACTTGTTGATTCCTCCATACATCTTAGGCAGCCCAGGAGATACCACAAACACTTTTAACATGGCATGAATCGGTTTTATGGGTTAGTTTTTAATTGTATCGCTAGGGGTTTTAAACTGGGGTGGCCGTTTAATTTAATTTATTTTTAATTATTTTAACTTTTATATTGTATGTCATTTTAATTCTCGGCTGTTCACCGCCCTGAGTCCCTTCGGGGAGAAGGGCGGGATATAAATTTAATAAATAAATAAACAAACAAACATGCAAGGCAGTGGTTCACAGAGGGCAGCAGTGTCAGGTTTCCCTTCATTCCCGCAGAATAGTGTGCCCTGAGGGCTTGAAAGTGATCCCTGCCCATAAAACGTGCAAAGGAGGAAGTGCATGCACACTGCCTCTCTTGGGGATAGGAAAGCCTGCCAAGAGGAGGGAGGTGGGCAGACGGGCATCTGGTCCTGACTGCTTCTTGCCTGCTTCCTGCAGCTGATCCTGCCCAACGTGGACCTGCAGCTGAAGTACTTTGACTTGGGGCTGCCCCACCGGGACCAGACGGAGGACCAAGTCACCATAGATTCAGCCCTGGCCACAAAGAAGTACAGCGTGGCCGTGAAGTGCGCCACCATCACCCCCGACGAGGCCCGTGTGGAAGGTATGTGCCGAAGGTGAGACTAGGCTCCGCCAAAGGGCCCCTGGAGAACATCTGTCCGAGCAAGATGGCGGCTCCAGAGGATGCCGCTGTGTCAGAGGAGGCGGGCAAGTCATCCTGGCCCCAATGCCAGACACGTCTCCCTTATGGCCCCTGCAGAATTCAAGCTGAAGAAGATGTGGAAGAGCCCCAATGGCACCATCCGGAACATCCTGGGGGGGACGGTTTTCCGAGAGCCCATCATCTGCAAGAACATCCCTCGCCTGGTCCCGGGCTGGATAAAGCCCATCATCATCGGGAGACATGCTCACGGTGACCAGGTGGGCTTGTGAGGGGAAAAGGGGCGCCCTGCTGCCAACCCACACGAAGCAGCTTTCTTGGTCCTGGGTGTCCGGGGGCCCGTCCCATGACCGGTTCGAAACCACGAAAGGAAAGGCCTGTGGGGATGTCTGTGGGCTCCAGGAGTTTTTCTACTGCCAGAGCCCCCTATGAAGCGTCAGCAAAGTTGCTAACGTTTTAAACAGATGAAACTTCTGCACTTTATTCAAGTTGAATGTTTACAGGACCTGGAAGTCATTAAGTGAATGTGAATGGGATACAATCTGCTGATCCAATCCAAAAATATTTTCCTGACTACCTGAATTCAGGCCCCAATAAAAATGTGGTAAAAATCTAAAGTGTGCTAAAAATCTAATCCTTATCTCAGTCACAGCTTCCCAATGGGGACACAACCTCTGTGGGACGGACAGCTTCTCCTTAAAGATAAACTTGAATTCAAGCAGTTGGGACAAGGACAGAAGCCATACTCAGGACAGGACACTTCCTAGTGGGGGGTGAGGTGGGCAGAAGAGCCAATGCGGCAGGCAGAATTGTCAGGAAATGTACCAGGGAAAAGCAAGGTGGGTGCGGGCAGCCATAATGCATCTAAGTGCAAGTCGTCAAATTACCCCGTGTCCCAGATTAGACCAGAGGTTACAAAAACAGGTAGGGGACAAAGAAAGCTAAGGAATTTCCCACGGCTGGTCTGAAGCCTGAACATGAGAAGAAAAGGCCAGTTTTCTAGCCAGGCCATTCTGGAGCCTCTGCTGGACTCCCCTCAGCAGTGTTGGGTGGGGGAGCGAGCAGTGGTTGATCCTCCTGGATTTTTCCTTTTTCAAAGCATTATTTCTGCCTAAAAATGCAGTTCTTAAAACCTTTCTTGCTTTTAACTGGGCGTAACTGCTTACCCTAGATGGATTTTGATCTTGGTTTCCTTATAGCCTTTGTGTCTTGTAGGGTAGGATTGGCTGTAATAACCTCTGTTTTTCAGTACAAAGCCACAGACTTCGTGGTGGATAAATCAGGGACCTTTAAGATGGTTTTCGTGCCCAAAGATGGCAGTGGAGCCAAGGAGTGGGAGGTCTTTAACTTCCCAGGCGGGGGTGTCGGCCTGGGCATGTACAACACCGATGAGGTGAGGAAGAGGGGCAGCTTGGGCAGAGGGGACGGGCCAGGACTCACACAGTCCCAGCTTTCCCTGGGGGAGTGCCCAGGCTCACCGGGGTGGGGGCGGGGTTGGGGTTTGCTGAATGTTCCTCCTCTGCCTTGGGGAGGGAGGGGAGCTCCACAGGCAGGCTAGTGCCCCCCCCACCATGTCCCACTGAGCACTCGGCCTGCCTCTTGCAGTCCATCTTGGGCTTTGCCCACAGCTGCTTCCAGTACGCCATCCAGAAGAAATGGCCGCTCTACATGAGTACCAAGAACACCATCCTCAAGGCCTACGATGGGCGGTTCAAGGATATCTTCCAGGAAATCTTTGACAAGTGAGCCATTTAGCCCAATGGGACCGTGGGGGGGAAGCAGCCCCCTTGGCTCTTTTGACAGAGGTCAGAGCCTGCCTACCAGGCCTCCGGTGCCCCTTTGCACTGGCATTGTCCAGGGCTGACCTTGCGTGATGCTGGCCTGTCTTGAGGAGGCCTCCTGTCCTCCTCCCCGTCAGGCACTACAAGACCGAATTCGACAAGCTCAAGATTTGGTATGAGCATAGGCTCATTGATGACATGGTGGCCCAGGTGCTGAAATCAGCTGGCGGCTTCGTCTGGGCTTGCAAGAACTACGATGGAGACGTCCAATCAGACATCCTGGCCCAAGGTATTTACTGGCCCAGCCTGGGGCACACAGCCAGCAGGTAGAGTTCCTGTGCAGGACTATGGGTGAGTGCTCACCCAGGGACGAGAGCAGGACCGAGGCGCTTAGGACCCCATCCTCAGCCCTTAGCATCTCCCTTCACCTGGTGCTGCCTCGCCAGGGCAGCACCTTCCAGGGGAAGCAGCTTGGGTTCAGGGCTCCCATTACTCTAAGGACCACAAAGCAAAGCTGCTTCCTGGGGGGGAAAGCAGAGGGAGACCAGCCACACACCTCCTGACTTCCTAGGCTGGGGGGTGGTGTTACCAGACCACGCTAATGGGAGAACCATCTCACCTCACACCAGCTGTGCCCTGGGTGCCTCTAGGGAGTTGTGCAGGGCTTTGGTGAGCAAAGGGAGCAGCGCCCCCACCTCCTTCCTGGTCAGATGGAACCTGCCTGACCAGTGTTTGGCTTTGCCCCAAGGGTTTGGCTCCCTGGGTCTCATGGCCTCAGTTCTTGTCTGTCCGGATGGAAAAACCATTGAAGCAGAGGCTGCCCACGGCACGGTTACTCGCCACTTCCGGGAGCACGAAAAGGTGAGTTTGCCTGGAGGGTGTCCCCACCTTCCCCAGTCCTGGGGAACTCCAGGCCACCAGAGTCCCCAGAGCACATGCTCTTTGCTTGCACCTCTCCCTCAGGGCCGCCCCACTAGCACCAACCCCATTGCCAGCATCTTCGCCTGGACCCGAGGCCTGCAGCACCGAGGCAAGCTGGACAGCAACCCACAGCTGATCAGGTAAGAGCAGCCCCAGGCCCCCTTGGGCAGTGAGAGGGGGGAGCCAGGGGGTTTTGTGTTCGCATTACCCCGCTGTGGGAAGCCTCTCCCCAGACCGAGGGCCCTGCTCCCTCCCTCAGCCTTCCTCTCCCTCCCCAGGTTTGCAGAGACTCTGGAGAGGGTCTGCGTGGAGACAGTGGAGCGTGGGACAATGACCAAGGATCTGGCTGGCTGCATCCATGGATTAAGCAAGTGAGGCCTGGCTCGGATTGGGGCGCTTTGGCCGGAAGCTCCGCCCTCCCCCGAGTGACCGTCTGCCTCTTGTCTCTCTGCAGTGTGAAGTTAAATGAGCACTATGTGAACACCACCGACTTCCTGGACGCCATCAAAAGCAACCTGGATGGAGCCCTGAGCAAGCAGTAGGCTAGGAGGGACTGCGGACGGGGACTCCGAGCGAGCGTGCGTGCATGCATGGCTGCTCCCTTCAACGGGAGTCCTTTTTGGCCTGTTTCTCAAGCTTGTGAGACCATTGTGGCCACTCTTGGGGAGGAGACCTGGCCCCCTTCCCGTTCTGTGACTGCAGATCTTGCAAGAAGAGAAGAAAATGGTTGAGTGCTGTAATTGCCTTGGGTGCCAAAGAGAGCTATTAAACGATGGCTTCTCCCTTAGTGCGACAGTCAGTCCGTGCGACGCATCCACACCGCTCGAGCACCACCACCCAGTCCGTCTGCCAAACAATATTCATTTATTGCTGAACTTCTTCAGAACTGGAAAATAAACACAGTAGCTCTATGCACAAAAGGGGCAACGCCCCAGGAGTAGAACACGGCGGCCACAGACTGTGCAGGGCGGGCCTTGACCGTTCTGCCAAGTAAGGGGGGGGGGGCGCTTTGGAGTCCACCAGATCAGGGGAGGCTTTCCGACCCAGGCTGCTCTTTCAGAGTTCAGGGCAGAGGTAGATTGCAACACGGCTGGGAAGTGAGCGCTTGCGGTCCGGTCCCGAAGCAGACTGAGGGAGATCTGCTTAGCCTCCCAAGAACCCCCGTCCCCCAGTTGCTTCAGCCAGGACTCTCAGGGTGGGTCTTCAGGGTCGCCCTGGCCAGGTGTGGGAGGTAGAGTAAGGCAAGTGGGGTCCCGCAAGGCCGGCACCCCAGCTAGGGACCACCAACCAGCAGAGCCACACCTGGTCAAGAGGCGGCTTGGGAGGGCCACAGAGGCTGTAATGGAGCAAGAGCTGCAGATCCAGCACGGTCCTCCCTGTGCTCTCCTGTTCCGTGCAGCCCAAGCCCTGCTTTATGGGGGGGGGGGATCCCCCCCCCCCCCCTTAACCAGGCCCCTCCCGGTCCAACTATAGCATGTTGTAGTAGGCGATCTCCTTCATGGTCTGTTCTGCCAAAGCAGACCCACCACTGGCATTCCCCACTGCTCCGTAGTCGTAGGCGTTTTCCTCATAGTCGTCCATCTCCTGCTGCCCGTCCAGTTCTGAGGGATTGGTGCCTGCCAACTCCAGCATGGGGTCTGGGGAGAAATGCAAACATGCCAGGTTGCTTTGGGGGTCCCTCTGGGAGAAGAGCGTCTGGGGCTCCCCTCTCAGCCATCTTCCCCCCCCCTCCAACCTTGGCTGTCCAGGTTGAGGTCCATCACGCCATGCTTGACTTTCATGTGCCGACTGAGGTTCCCCTTCAGGTTGAATTTGCTGGAGCAGTAAGGGCACTTGAAGGGCTTGCTGCCGGCATGCAGGTGCATGTGGCCCAGGAGGTTGTACATGCGGTTGAAGGACTTCCCACACACCTGTAGACAGAGAAGACAAAGTGTCTCGATGGCAGGCTGGCCAGCTCCTGGCAAGGGCCACATCAGGCCTGCCTGGCCAAGTCCAGAGACCCTCCAAGGGGATGCCTGGAGAGGAAGCAGCAGGCCTTCCAGGAGCCTTTCCAGGTGGCCAACATGCCCCCAAGTTAAAAAGAACACTTGGAACGTGGCCCCAAATGCAGCTGGGGGGGGGCAGACACATGAGATATGAAGCTGTGGCTGTTCCCAGCCTCCCTGCCCCACCCCACCCCGGCGCTACCTTGCACTTGAAGGGCTTGACAGGCGAATGCACGATCATGTGGGTCTTGAGGGTCTGCTTCTGCACAAAGGTCTTGAAGCAGATGTGGCATTGATAGGGGCGCACGCTGGTGTGGATCAACATGTGCCGCTTCATGTTGGCCTGCAGCGTGAACTCTCGCCCACATACCTCGCACTTGAACTCCTTCACGCCCTGAAAGAGACAGAAGTGGCCACAGTGGCCTGGCTAGTAGTCCTGGGAAGGTCTCCGGCTGACCTCAGCAGCTCCAGCCAGGACAGTGAGGCAGGAGAAGGCTGCTGGACCCCTGCGTGACCCCGGCCTACCTTGTGGGTGAGCGAGTGCTGCTTAAGGTGGTGGATCTGGCTGAACTCCATGCCGCACTCGGTGCAGACGAAGGGCCGCACGTTCTGGTGTTTGAGGGTGTGGTTCTGCAGCTGGCTGCGGTAGTGGAAGGACTTGTTGCACTCGGGACACGGGTACAGCGTGGGCCCCTGGTGCGTGGCCAGGTGGCGCTTGAGCTGGGTGAGAGTGGAGAAGTCCAGGCCACATTCCACACACACGTGGCAGCGGCCGCTCTCGTGCTTCCCCTCGTGGGCCTTGAGCTCGCTGGGATAGGCAAAGCCACGGCCACAAAAGCGGCAGCTATAGGGCTTGACATCCGAGTGCAGCAGCATGTGGCGCTTGAGGTGGCTAGTCTGGGTGAAGGCCTTGTGGCACACCTGGCACTTGTGGGGCCGTGTGCCCTGGTGGGTGAGCAGGTGGGTCTGCAGGTGGCTGGGCTGCTTGAAGAGTTTGCTGCAGTGTGGGCAGGAGTGCGGCTTGATGCCATTGTGCCCCAGGATGTGGGTCACCAGGTTGTACTTGGAGGTATAGGACTTCTCGCACAGGCGGCACTGCCAACGCTTCTCTACCAGGTAAGAATCGTCAATCTGGACATTGATGTCCAGGCGGTCCATGTGCACCTTCTTGCTGTGCTCGCCGGGGACCTCCGGCTCAAAGTCCAGGGGCTCCTGCCAGGCAAAGCCTGCCCCACTCTTGCCTTGCTCTGGGGGAGAGGCCGGCAGCTGGTTCTCCATGCCACTCAGGGACGGCAGGCCCGGTGGGAAACTGCAGCCGCTGGGAAAGGCTTCTGCCCTGTCCAGGCCAGCTTGGGGTGGGCTGGGGAACCTTTCCTCATAGGCCCCCAAGGAGTGCTCTTGCTGCGGGGGCCTTCGCGGTGGCTGAGACCGCCTGCTGAAGGGGCCGAGGCTTGCCATCCTGCTGGTGCCGCTCTGTCTGGTTGGCTCAGAACACGGCTCCTCCAGGTTGCTGCTCTCCCCCTGCTCTTCAGGGCCACCAGCAGGTGCTTCGGGGCTCCCCTCCTCCTCCTCCTCCATCTCGCCCCTCTCGTGCTTCACCTTCGGCACCAGGCGCACAGGGGGCCGCTTCCTCCTCCGGGCCTGTTTCCCAAAGGAGGCTTCCGCCTCCGGCCCTTCCTCTTCCTCAAGGGGCTCCCCCTGGGATGGACCAGCCGGGCTGCTGCCTTCGGGCTGTTTCAGTTCAGCGGCTGCTGCGTCGTCATCCAGTTTTCCTGCCAAACTGGAGAAAATACTGTCTGGATTGACCGTGCCTCCCAGGAACTCATTTTCGGACACCAGACCCAGGACAGCAGCTTGGGCCAGCGACAGCACCACCACTGCCTCCGTCTGGGTCCCGGAGCTGGCAAAACGTTCCATGCCTTGCACCATCCAGCTGAGCTGCAGCACCTGCAGGAAGGAGAGAGGAAAGGAAGCTGTGAGCTCGTGCCTTCTAGTGCGGGCACAGCACCAAGCTTGACACCAGGGAGCCACCAATTCTCTGGCCTTGCCCAAAGTCCAGCCAGAAGCCCAGGCATCTCCATCCACGCTGGCAGGAAGCCCAGGCATCTCCATCCCAGGCAAAATTTCATTCCGAAGGAAGCCAAAAGGCAGCTACGGGCATCCTTCTCTCACCCCGGAGAATCACAACTGCCAAATAACATGTGGTTCTCACTTAACAACTATGATGTTGACTGTTAAGTGACCATCTGAAGTTGTGACATCACTGAAGACGTAACTTTACAACCGGTCCTTGCACTTATGACCAACACATCATCCCACGGTCACATGATCACCATCTGGCAACAGGCTTCTGGCATGCAAAGACACCGAGTTGGAAAAATCACAAGTTGTGGTCAAGTGATGTCTTGCTTAGCGACCACACTGCTTAGCAATGGAATTGCAATCCCAACTGTGGCTGTTAAAGAGACACGCATCCGAAGTCTACTTGCATCATTTCCAGGTCCACTGGAGCATTTTTTCACCTTCTGATTATGAGGAGAATTTAACTGAAAACATGGGCCCAGATGTGGTCCCCGTCAGAGTCCTCAGAGCAACACCACCAAGCCCCGCCAGGCAGGCCCGAGGGCGGGGCCAGCAAGGAGCCAGGTGGGGCCCCGGGTATCGTCTGCCACAAGGGGCCGCCCGGAGCGTCTCTGGAGAGGGAGCCAAGGGGGGCTGCCTTGAGGGCTCTCGGGAAGCAAAAGCGCGGGGCGGCCACGGCCCCCCCGCTTGGCCACCTACCCGCCTGAGCCGGGCTCCACCTGCCGAGGGACCCCCCACCCGGGCGCCCAGGGAAGCTCCGCGCGGCCTCCCCGGCGAGGGCCCCGCAGCCTCCGCGCCCGGCCGGCAGGGACAGCCGACGAGGGGCCTCCAGAGAGACCTTCCGGGAGCCGCGGCCTCCTCCGACCGACCGGAGGCTCCACCAGCCGAGACGCCGCCCAGGCCGGAGCTTCCGCCTCAACTGCCCGGACCGGGCGAGCCGCAGGTGCGGAGCCCCGCCCCTCAAGGAGGGGGCGGAGACGGGCGGGGCCTCCGGGGCAGCCCCGCCCTTCCGCGCTTGGCTCCCGCCCGGCGATCCCGCCCAGCTGAGGCGGCCGCCTTGCTCGCGCCGGAAGAAACCTCGCCGGGCCCGCCCCCCGCCTCGCTCGCACACGCCCCGCCCTGTTCCGTCTCCCAAGCAACGCCCCGCCCATCTCCTCTGCCTCGCAGCTCTCCCCCCTCCCCCGCGCCGCTTCCCGGGCAGATTGGAGCCGGGTCCCTCCGCCCCCCCCCGCCCCAATGTCCCCAAGCGCTTTTCCGACAACTGTGCCGGGGGGGGGGGGGCACTGTTTAGCCCCGCAATCCGGGAGCCCCCTTGGGAGCAGTTGCCCGCGCAGAGAGGCTTCTCCTCCGACGGCCCCGCTTGAAAAGCCGAGCAGAGTCCCTGGGAAGCGGCGACGGAGCTTCCCCTCCCCCCCCGGGCTCCTGCCCTGCCCAACCCCCCGCTTGTCAGAAAAGCAAAGCAGGCGCTTCTATCCTCTCCTGTGCGCCTTCCCGCCCTCCAGGCAACGCACCCCTTGCCCAGAGGACCGTCCAGAAGTGGAGCTAAAGCAGCTTCATGACTGCTGGTCACAACCCTGTAACACAACCACAGGGCTTCAACTGGCGCCCACGGTTGTTAACCCTCCACCAAAGGCATCTTGTTTAGGTATCACAACACACATTTTGCTATTTTGCACCATCGTGCTTTATATTGGGCAGACCTGGATGATGCAACGTGGAATGTAAGGCTGCCTAACGTCTGACGTCCTGAGCTGTTTGAATACTGAAAAAAATGGCATATAAATCCTGTTCCTTGAGCATCTGACCTCCTCGGCACAATGCAAGCAGATCAGATTGATGGAAGGACTCGAGGGATGCGCTGCACCCACAGACATGAACTCCTCCCACAGGCTGCCCCCCACCCCATCTCCCTCAGCAACGAAGAATACAGACTCCCCTCCAAAGCCTTCAGTTGTCGGCCCTACAAGGAGGGAGCCCCTGGGTGGGGAGGAGGGACTGTAAAAATAAAGTCCTGGCTGTGACAGCATGATGATGATGATGAAAATTATTTGCCACCTACCTCACCATGGGGTTAACTCTAGGCAGCTCTCAACCATAAAAAATGAAGAGATAAAAAGGAAGTTTAAAGAAGCGAAAGTGAAATAGAACAATAAAATAAAATAACCGACGAAAAAGAAAAAGAGAGACTACATTAATACGATTAGTTAAAAAAAAGATGGCTGGGAGGACAGAGACTTGGGTCACCATGTGTAGAAATATAGAGTTGAGTATCATCTGCATATTGATAGTATCTCAACCCATGGTGACGGACGGAGCTGGTGACCCTTTGAGAGCTGTAGAAAGTTATTCTATGTCTAAGGATGATCTCGCCCAGCGGCTTCATGTATAGGTTAAATAGAGAGCACAGAGCCCTGCGGCACCCCACAAAACAGAGGCTGTGAGTCTTGCTCCCATCAACACCAATTGGGAGCAACCTCAGAGAAAGGAACTGAAGCAGTTTAAAACTCGTGAAGCCAGCCCAAGCGGATATCATGGCTGACAGTCTCAAATGCCACTGAAAAGTCAAGAAGAGCAACAATGGTCGCACAATCTCTATCTCGCTCTCGCCAGAGACCATCCATAAGTGCGACCAAGACTGTTTCTGTCCCTGAATCCAGATTGAAAGTCATCCCGGAAATCCGTTTCATCCAGGACACTCTGGAGTTGTCAAGCAACCACCTTTTCTACCACTCCCTGTAAAGAAAAGATAGGAAACTGGATGAAAATTATCCAGGCAGGTGGGGTCAAGGGACGGTTGCTTAAGGAGAGGACAGACCAGAACCTCCTTAAAAGATCCCAGGAATATCCTCTCACAGTCAGGATTTTTTTTACTGCATGAACCCATTTGCTGGTCACCATCTGGAGGCTTTCAGCCAGGATGGACAGGAATCTAAAGGACAGGTTGTTGCACTGACAGCACAGAGTACCCTGTCCACTTCCTTAGGGGCAACAGGGTCAAATTTATCCCAAATTACTAGGCAAGTTAATGCCTGAGCACCTTATAAATTACTAGGCAAGATAATGCCTGAGCACCTCATAAGAACCTGCACCTCACAAGAGTTCCAACCAGGAACAAATCCAAGCAATTTTATTTGACAGGTGTTCAACAAATTCTTTTGGTGTCAGTGATCCAAGCCCCACCTCTTTGCACTGCACCTCTTGCAATGCGCAAAAGGGGTGGGGCTTCAATTGCACAGCTGTGGCCACCATGTTGGCTTTTTAACCCTTCTATGGATGCCCCTGGTGCTTCAATTCACAACTGCTAAGAATGGCAAATCGAGCAAAGGGTTTAAAAGGTGAAGACAGGCTGAGATTGCAAGCAGCAATCTGTGGCACCAGGACAAAATCCTAACATAGCTGCAAAGATGGATCAGATCACCCTGGTCTTGCCTGGCTGTGAGGACTATTAAACAGTGGCTCAGCCTGCCTCCAAGAGTCAGGGAGGTTTTCAGGAAAAGACAGGATGGCCATTTGTCTATGATGATACGAGGATTCCCTCCCTGGATGGGGTTGAAGGTCTCTCCAAAGTCTCTCCCAACATTAAATAATGGGACAGGACAGGATAGGATATACAACTATTGTATTATGGCTGACTGACCAACTTTATATCCAGCATATATAAGCACTTCTCAGTGGAACTACAACTACATATCGGTGGACCCAGATTGTTGGGGGCAATATGCTGACTTTGTAAGTCACTTAGAGAGGGCTGTAAAGCACTTGAAGCGGTATATAAGTCTAAGTGCTATTGTTACATGGAGGGAAGCATGCAATGAGGTTCTGTCCTAGGCCGTCTTCATCTTCCTAAACAATTTAGATGAGGGAATAGAAAGGGAACCAATTTTTTACTTGCAGGGTGTGTGTTTCATTAATTCCATCCAATCATAATAGTTATATAATTTAGAGGCGATCCCACTCTGTGGTTCTGGGCAGCTTTAAAAGAATAGGAATAATGAGGTGGAGCGAATGTCTGTGGACATTCTCGGTCATCCAGGTCACAGTTGTCTCAAAGGTGCTTTTTCAAAAGGCAACTGGACTGTTTTTTCCTTGAGGTAGGAGATCTTTCACTTCTTGGATGGGAAATGAAACATCTTAGTTTACCATAATGGAGCCTGAGTTTCTTTCTCCACAACAGATCTCTAAAGTTTCCAGGCCTTTGACAACCTCACTTGGGCAAGACATACAATTGGGTATCCTCAGCCTACTGAGGAAAATGGATTCCAATCTCTCCCCATCAATACAGCCTGGGAACAACCATGAGAAAAAAGTGAACCAGCAGAACATGGTACCCTCCACTCCCAATTTCCACAGCCAGCATGGAAGGATACTACAAGTGATGGTACTGGAAGCTGCTGACGGGCAAGGAGTGGTGGTTGCCACTGCCTTCTTCATGGCCAAAGAGCTGCCCCTCTCTCAAAGAAGCTGGGCCCAACTAGAGACTCCTCCAGGCATCTTTAACAATCTGCATGTAACAAAGGAGGTGGGGGGGGGGGCGTGCTCACAGGTTAAAGGACCTTGTCCACTTCATTACTTAACCAGTAAAACCTGCTCCAGGAACCCCACAAGTCAGCCACTCAATTGGAGCCCAACTCTGAGCAGAACAACTTCATCTGCCGGACATCTGGAATATTCTGCACAGGGCCCCTTTCGTCAGTTTATCCTTCCCCATTAAGTCACCCTAAAGCCAACTGCCACCTGGGTCTTTGGCCCCCTAGCAGAGTCCCTGCATTTGTCTAGGGCGCTGCACTGTTTCCCCCAGAGCGCCTGCTTGGTATTTCCATTACCACCATTCACCAGAAATGGGCTACTATCACCAATCTCAGGATTCCACTTTCCTTGCTCTGCGAGGCTCCTCCTGGCTTTTCCATAATGCTCTTTAGTAAACTAGAGAAGGTTTAGCTAAGTTGCCAGACAACCTCAATCAGTGCCCTGTGCAGCATGCTCTGCTAGCCATCAGTTCTGACATATTTTGGTCAGTGTGTCACACAGCACAATCCATCTTTTGCTTCAGGTATGTTGTGCAGGCCAGCAACTCTAATATAAAGACTATCTGAAGTCAGGAAACTATTGTACTTAATGGTGACTTGGCAGACTGAGGATGGAGGGAAGGGAACAGCTGGCCTGAGCATTTCCCACCCGCAACTGCCCCCCTGAGCTGCTGGACACAAAATTAGAAAAAGAAGCTTATTACCCAGAGAGTTGAGAACGGCACATTAGAGAACCACCAAATATTTAATTTTAAACTAAATTATAGTTTGGTCTTATTTAGAATTTTGTTTGCTCTAACTAGATTGCTGTCCCGGGGGATTTCTGGAGTGACCCTGGGCATGCTGATGGGATGGATTCCTCCAGCTGCCCCCCCAGCCCAACAGGAGGACCATCTCTTTTTTACCAGGTCACACTGTGGGCTTCAGCTCACCACCCCTGCGTTGCATCTGGGCTGCAGCCTGGCCCTGCTTTCCCCCAGCTGTAGAATCCTTTGCAGTGAACAAGAGCCACAACTAGCTAGCTGGGTGAGCTCTGTGCCATTAACCGAAAAATGAATGGCAAGTGAGGACAGGATGGGTCAGGAGCGGACCGAATTCTCCCTCCTGCCCAGGCCCAGGGGCAGCTCCTGAGGCCACCGAGGGGGACGTGGCAGGCCTCCAGTTGCTGGATGCCGCCCATCTGGGAGAGAAAGCCCTTCTCTCTGGCTGAGAGAGGCTTTGTTTGTTGGGGCAGATATTCCCCCCACACACAACAGACATGCAATCTTGATTTTTAACTGAGTGTGTGAGTGAGTGATTTCTTTTTTGCAAGATTTCTTAAGGGTAGATTCTTCCTCTTTTCATTTGGCCACCTTCATTTTCTGCTCAGTTGGGAATTAACTTTCTTCTCCCTCCCGCCCCCCCCCCCCTCGGAAAGAGAGAGAACGTGAAAAGCCAAAAGGATTTTACATCTTTACACAAGGGGGGGTTGGCACAGCCTGTGAATCCGGGCTCCTTTCTTTTCAAGCGCTTCTCCTCTTTCCCCTTCCTGCAGCTCCATTCAGCCTTTCTTTTCAGAGCTCTCCATCCCCCCCTTCCTTTTTCCATCGCTTTTCACTCTGTTTCTCTCACCCCCACCCCCCTTTGAGGCTCCTTTCCCCCCTTTCATCCTTCCTCTATTCAGTTCCTCTAGCATGTGTGAGTGTGTGTGCGCACACTGCTTCTTTTTAAATAGCTTTTCTATTTTCAGAGAGCACATGGAACATGTAGGAAGAGAAATAATTTC